CAAACGGCGCGCGAGTGCGTTTGTTGGTGGTGGGAGCGGGAATACCACTGGGTGCGCTTTCAATCTAATTCTACTCCATCCTGTCTGTCCTTCGGCGCGTTATTGATACTCCTGTCCTTTTCACTCATTCTCGTCGCGGTCTTTCTTTTTTCTTTTTCCCTTCTTACTTTATTCTCTTTTCCTCCGACTCATTCCTCTTTTCATTCTCGGCTCATCTCACTCACTCACACGTACGTGCAGGCCTTCGCCGAATATCACCTCATCTTCGAGCAGCAGCGAAAGGTGGACCGTCGTCCCCTCCCCTTCCTCTGCTACCTCCAGACCGAAGACACGTCCAACCTCCCCGTCGCTCTACCGCATCCCCGAGCTCAGGCTGTCGACCCACATCACGGAGCTGTTCGTCCCGTTCGTGCCCCCGGTGGTGCAGTACGAGAAGCAGCGCGCCGCGTTGCCCAACTTTAACTACAACTCCGAGTCCAAATCCAAGTCCAACTTGAACAGCGGGCGTGCGGTGAAGGCGCACACGATCTCCGCTGCGAGTCGCTGTGGAAGTAACGGATACAGCTCGACGCCGTCCTTACACGCGTCTCTTGGCGCGGAAGCGGAGCACATGTACGCGCACGCACACGCGGCGTCGTGTTTGTCTTTCCGTCCTCCTCTTTCTCCTTCTACATCATCGACTTCCTCTTCCTCCGCCCCGACTTCTTCCCAATCTTCTTCTCCCAGCACATCCTCATGCTCGAGCGCCGCATCCTCCAACTTCCCTCCCACGCCCACCATGTTCGCACTCCCTTCTCCCTCTGCGTCCGTATCCGAGCGGCGTTGGTCCGTCACCTCGAGCTCGGGTGAAGTTTCGAACCCGTTCGTAGAGAAACCGCCGCGCTCCCCACCGTGCATCCCCTCCTTCAACGCGTTTAACAATAACACCTTCCCCCGCCGGCGCCTCCCCTCCTCCGCCACGCTCCCCCTCTCTTCCGCATCTACGAGGAGCAGAAACGCGCCGCCGCCGATGCCGCCGCCGGTTGGTGCGTTACCTCCGCTCCCACCCCTTCGTGTTCAAGTCAACATCGAGGTTGAACGTACGTCCGACGCCTTCCCACCTTCCTCAACCTCCTCCCCCGACTTCGACTCCGACTCCGACTCACCCTTCACCCCAACACACCCCTACGCCCTCGCCTCCCCCATCCTCCCTGTTGAGCTGTTGGACGCGTTCCCGCTCCCGCCGCAGCATACGCCCACGCCGTCGTTGCGGGCACCTTCTTTACGCGCTCCCTCACTGTTCGAAGGGCATACTCCTTCGCTGAAAAGAACACCATCGCTCTACGCGCATTCGATGCGTTCAACGCGCTCCCTCTCGCGCGTTTCAACCAACCTAAACCTAAAGCGCGCGCCTTCGTTCCACCTCCCCACCTCTACTTTCTCAACGTCGCGTTCGAGAGGGTCGGCGCTCCCGACTCCCCCGCCTTCGCCTACTTCTCCCTCCCCACCGACGCGTTCTCGTCCGCGCCTGCCAGTCGAATGGGAGTCGGAAGGGCGGACGGAGGGGAGGATAGTGCCCGTCACCCCGCCGAGGAGGACGCAGAAGCAGAAGCGCGCGAGCTCACCGTTCCCTTTGCTCTCCTCTCCTTCCTCCCAGCTATTGACACCGTCGCCCAGGAGAGATGGGAGGGATTGGATCCAGTTCGAGTCGCCCGACTCCAAGCTGAGCGCGTACTCAAAGTCGAGCGTGTCCATGTTGGAGAGCAGTTCGCCCGGGAGCGTCTACTCACAGCTGGACGACGACGAGGAGTATCATAGCGCTTGTTCGTTCTCGAGCTAGGCTGAGTTTTGGCCACTGTATCCGTGAGGAGGGAGCTTCAACCACGCATCAATACATTCGCTTGGCTTTGGGGCGCGAAACCTCCTTTTTCGGCGCGCATCCTCGCTCACCTTCTTTCGTTCAACCACCCACGTTACTTCAGTACTAATTGCGACAATCCACCCCACCCCCACACCCGCGCATCCCGCTCACCTTTCGTTTCAAATCACCCACCCTCGTTATCAATCGCGACAAACCCGTACTCTACTGTATAACCACATTCGTTCGCTCTTTACGACCCCTCGCTCTTGCGTATCATTCTTGACCCCGACCCCGTACAACCGTACAATACACTAAAATGTACCATCACACCACACCGTCGCTTATTGCAGTTAGTTAATTAGGATACACCGTACAGTAAACTGGTAATCGTAGTCGTAGTCCGTATAGCTGAAATCCAAATTGTTTTCGTTGGACATTTTTTGGGCTCTGCTTTCATCATGGATGAAGGTTGTTTCATGTTGGAGTGTGGTTCATTCAAATTCAAGTACGATCGAGCACTGTTCACCGACCTCGAAGCTTGAAGGCGAAGTGTTAAACTTATCAAGAAAAAAACAGAACTTATAGCCAAATGTCGCAGCCTGACTCGCAGCAAACTGCAGCTGCCCATAACATTTTTTCAAAGGGGCAGGACAGGTGCATCATCGTGCCAACGGTCAAGAAAGATGTGGCCCCGTCCTGTTCAATTAACCTGCGGGTCTGCGGAGGTCCACTGCCAAACGGGCCGTTGATGTCCGGATCTGAGAAGTGGAGCCTGAGGCAGTAAGTGCCTGTTGCGTTCCGAACGAGAAATGGACGAGACTTTTGAGTATAAAGATTGTTGAGAAATCCGGACCCATCGAGCGGGATTCAACCACCTACATATTTTATCAGCTCCGATGGAAATAAGTCGTTCATTTTCTGAAATACGGGTGTCAACCAAGGAAGAGATCATCGTGCCCGCTGCCATACTAATAATCTATCGCGAAACTTCAGCCTTTTGACATTTTGTTTGCCGGGTTGTTGGGCTTGTTTGGGGTTGTGAGCTTGGCGGGCAAGCTCACAACCTCACATGGCCCAGAAATCTATGAGCGTTTTTTTCGATGTTTATTATGGTCCAAGTCCGGTAGTCTGTACATTTTCCGGAAAATCGCGGAGGTGGGAAGACTCTAGCTGTTAGTCGGAAGGTCGAACTCTGAACTTGGATTTGATGGTATTACTGCATCCTGACAGATCATGTCTCACGCTCCGTGCTTCTTGATGCGCTTTCGCCCGTCGCCCAGCCCGCCGTCTTTTGTTTCCCATACTGCTGTGAGCTGAAAATGGATAACTTGAGCTGAAAATTTTCAACTATTGATGGCATCGACCTCAACACCTAATTTTCTGAATCAGATGCTTATTGCAGTCAAAATTACATGTAAGCCAATTGTCACTTGCTATAACAGCTCAAGCCTAGGCAACAGCAAGCGGCCACATAACAAGAGCTACCTTTTGCCACAACATAGACATATCATTTTGGCTGTCTCCTCCTTCCACTACAGCTTAATTGAGTGAGTTGTTGCCAACCTCGCGTGTTATGGTGCCTAATCCTGTCTTCAAAAATATCTGCAGAAACTACGAAAATCATATATTTATGTAGCCCACAAAATGAGCATACTGGTAGCAATGGCGGTGCCTTCTGCGAGTGGTTGAGTTTTGTGCAAGATAGGGGGTTTTGATGATCACTTCCTGTTTGGGACGTCGGAACAGTCCGGTCCGGTTAAGAGTTCCGACTTTTGAGTTTCGTTCAGACCAAATTTAGACGAAAACTACCGACTTAATAAACAACGATGATAACCGTCATAGAAATCACCTTCAAAACATTGAGATGGTTAGCAAGGGTGCTGGGAATCAGTGAGAAGATGAAATACTAACAAGAAATGCCTCTTGCTACGCTCCGGTAAGCAACTTCCAATGGAGCCCCCACCTGCGGCGCAGTTTTGCACAGTAACAAAAAGGAAAGCTGATTCAAATGTGCTTAACAGCTTCTAGAATTCCAACCACAACTGTGACGCCTTGCGAACTACAACTGCTGTTCAATTTAACAGCTTTCACTTTCCAAAACAGGAAGCCAAGAAAAATTGAAACTGTTGAAGGGAATGAAACGACAAAAACGGTTGTTTGGCCTGTCCTTGGCTTGGGCTTGGCTCAATTTTGGGTGAATCAAAAGTGATGAACAGTAAACACAAGCCCGACATCTCATTAAGAATACGAAGTATGGTTTTTCGTTGGGATTTCTGTTGGCATTCTGGCTGCGGGACCAAATCAATCCGTACTTTTTGCCCTTTTTGGGAGTCGAACGAGCGAGGTTGTGGATTTCTCGACTCAGGTTGTTGGGTTGCGTGTCCGGGAGCTTGTATGGGCTTGTTCGGGGTTGTATGGGCTTGTTCGGGGTTGTATGGGCTTGTTCAAGCTCACAAACTAAATGTCAAAAGTCTGATGAACATACCACCCGATCGATCTCAAATTAATCTTGACCTGTGGATTGTTTATTATGGACGACAGCCAGCTCGATGGCGTTCCGTGGATCGGAAAGACTGGGTAGCCGGTGGTACTGCGCAAGTACTGCGTGTAAGTAAGTTTGAGTGTAATTCAAGTTGTGGTGTTTGTGTTTCACGAATGCATCATGCAGTAAGGATGGAATTAAAGAGATTTTTACTTGACATACCGGCAAGTACATGTATGCACCACCACATCTCCGTTCTCCGGCAGGCTAGCTACAGGCGTCGGGTTTTCGGGGGTTCGTAAGGAGTGAAAACGTACATACGAGCAGGAAGAATATATTGTGATGAATAGCGGATCTCAGGCTACTTGATTCCTTGATACAGATTCTGCTAAATATCGTAATCGCAGAGAAGAGAAAATTCGTACTGAGCACATTCCTCAACCCTCGTGCTTCTCTGGAACTGGTGTCACGAAAAGCACCATTCCACGTATCTTGTGCATGTGCGATGAGTGCCTGCCAGTCGTCATAAAGAAAGATTGCTTAGAGTTATTGACTTATCTCAGAGTTCGGACTCAGGTTATGGCTTCAATATTATCCGTATATGGTGAAGTTTCAGTTGATTCTCGGACCATATCTATAGAATCTCTCAAATGCACTCCTCAATGATGCGCTGAAGATGCACTCTTAGTGTAGTGGTAACACTCCCTTATCAACGATGTCTGAGGGGATCCTGGGTTCGATGCCCGGAGGGTGCCTGTGTCTGTGGTCGCGATCATATTTTTGGTTTCGCCATCAGGAAAAAACCACTTGGTTACATACTGCTTGGTAGTCCCTGTAACCGTGATTGCATCATCGACAAGTCCCCTTTACGTAGCCCCTTGTAGCCGCCCGCAATGGCTTGGTAGCACTTGGTAGCTCATGCCTGTGATGTCTGTAGCACCTGGTTGCGCTCAGTACCAGCTGCTACCAGAGCTACCAGGAATCCTGAAGCATTCACAAAATGCAATTCACTTGCCTCACGCCCCTTTCTTGCTGTGGTTCTTTGCTTTCTGCGGAAGGTTTCTGACTTTTGCTGCTCCACGTATTTGACTTTTTATTTTCGACTGTGCATGAAATGGAAATACGACTTACTGACCGCGCGAGAACAGTGAAAATTTTAGGAAGGACAAAATACATCTAGACTAAGCAACTGTTCAGAATGGCTGCTTTTGGAAGTCCATATCGGGGTCCGGGGAAATTTGCGGATAGAATGAGACCATCCACCTCCTCATTATCTTCGTCGTCGAAAGAGAAACTTGAGACGAGGGGGAATGTCTTGCGATATAATTCCTTCGATATGGACCTAGGGCCCGGGATGCGAATTTCCTGTAGTTCGCACCTGGATTTCGCCATGAACTGTTTGAGTTGAGAGATGGGATCCGTCCCAATGTACGATTCTGGGACTTCTAGTTTCCGTAGTCGGGGGGCAATGAAAGTGCCTAGATATTCGGTCCCTCTGGGTCGTCTTCACGTTCGTCGCTGAAGGTCAACAATTCCAAGGATAAAAGCTCGAGCTCGGGCTGGATTGCAGTGGAATTGTCGAGGCAGAGTTGCAACTCGCAATGAACCAAGCTGCAGGTCTGCAGCAAGATCGGTGTACATTCACGAGGATATACGGCACACAAAGTCAGCGACGTCAAATTAGCCCAGGGTAGGATAATGTTGGCCGCAGCGATATCATTCATCCTGATTGTGCGGAGAAGAGGAGCGTTTGTTAACGAGAGTGGGGGGGATGTGGACCCGAGGATCGTCAGGTTCAGTTCTCGGAGCAACGGTGTGGGGCTTCAATGATGGGAAGGAGGACACGAGGTATCTGGAGTTCAAGGTACTCCCAGCGTAGACGGTGAGGAAGGAGAGTCTGGATATCAGCCTGATGCTCCTCCCTCGTCGCGCGGTATGGATTATTCTTGAATATAATGGAAACTGGGCAGAAACGAGACCGTTCCAGCCAAGATTCCATGTGCTGAATCCGGTTTGTACTAGGAACTACATCCTCGGGGTACAATATTGCCCTCCAGAGAGACGAAGTGGTGATGGCAATTTGTCTCCATTTTCGACAGATGTGAGTTAAGAGAGTCGGCGAGAAGTGTCCAGACATGGAAGGACATTCAGGATACGCTGGAAGGAACTGGAGGAAGATCTCGGACACGATTTCATTGGGCAGTGTCAAGACTGGGTATCTGTATGCGTCGAGTCGTCCCTGTATAGCTGATCTCTCCTTCCGTAACAAGATAAGGGCTCGTTCCAGCCCCAGCATTTCTGCCTCTACGTCTTTGCGGCATGTACGATCTGCTTTGAGGCCACCATCGGACATGATGACGGAGACGGGGAGAAGCTGTAGACAAATGGTCACCAATGAGTCAACGGTAACTAATTTGACCCACTCCAGTACGGCTTTCGTTCGGGCGACTGCTAAGTGGGTGTATGATTTTTTGGATGGTAGTGGAACTCGAAAGAAAGTTGAGCCACGTCACACGTGTGGCCACTGATCCGAATTGTTCGGAGTCTAACCTAGCACACGTTCACTTCCGCGCCGATTTATCAATAGGGCGCTGGAATGAGGCAAGCAACTTGGCGGTAATTGTGACAAAGACTCGGTGGCAAGGTGCCAGAAGTCAGTGACCCTATCTAAATTGAACCTCAGAGAACATGTACGAATCTACTCAAGGGGGTTCGGGCCGGACACGCCGGGACCTAGGGCAGGTAGGTAGGGTCGGCCGTCAGGCCAAAAGAAAATAATCGGGTATGACCCAAAGTTAGCCAAATATTGGCCCGGACCAGTCTGGAGTTCATTTTCAGCATTCCAACACCACGTATGTGTACTATTTCCGTGGGAAGCAATGATTTAGAGGGTTCATCTAGTCAGGTGAATGGAACAAGGGTTTTCATGTTTCATTTTTTGGGAGAAGTAAGTTTGAAAACACTGGGAAAAGCTTTGAAGGAGATTTATATCTGAGGGCTTACATATGAGGACAATTCCTGCAGCCTTTGTCCACGCGTTGCCACACAAGTCAAGTATAGTATGGACTCTGGAGTTCAGTGAGAAATAATTCAAGTCGTGTTTAAATGAAACCTCATTTTCAAAAGAGATGGATTACAAAGGTATTCCCGCCAAAAACACGCAAAATACCTGCCCAACCAAGGTTGGCGCTCAAGGTTCCGGGTGTTCGGCATTGATCGGCAGAGCGGCAATCAGTCTAAATTCACATCACGTGGTAGGGAGGGTCAACAAGAATTGGGTTTTGAAAAAAAACGGCCCAGGTCGTTTTTTTGACAGAATTGAACCCCCTTGAATCTACTCATTTGTTGAAAGCTCTTCAAGAACTGAAGAGTTGATGTAGTTCTCTGCTGAGGAATTGAGAAAGATGGCAGTTCCGGTATGGGCGATATACTGTGCAAAAACTCGTCCGATTTTACAGGGTTTTTGCAGGCAACTTACATCCAAATTCGAACTCCTGCCTGACAATCGTGTAAATCTACTTACATCTCCCGAAGTTGCTTGCATCTACTCCCGCTTACATCTCCGAATTGGCAGACAACTTGAGCAATGATTGCTGTGTGTGTTCCCATCAGTTCCAAATCGGGTGAAATAGAACAATTCAGCAATGGCTGGATTCCTGGTCTTTCAAAGAGTTTCGGATGAAAATAGTTGGATCAGGATGCTGAATTAACATCCTATGAACATATTTTCAGCCTTATGAGAACAGCCTTCATCCAAAAGAGTGAATTTTGGCCAGTCCTTCCAAATGGTCCTGTGTACCTTGAAAACCGATTCTTATTCAGAATGTGTGTGACCATGCAGCTTTGATTACGACAGAGTCTTGCTTTTGGAGGTCCCTACAACCTCCCTGGTAGTCACTGTCGAGAAGCACCGTGCTTTCCGTTTATGGATTTCGGCAAGTCTGATCCCATCACTGTTGTCATCATTTCCATCACTTCGATGAAAATTCAACCAAGTCCCACACATGTGAGAAGACATTGGGCCAGCTTGTATCTGACCACCGAGCAGTTGTAAGTGCCTTACAGACGATGTCAGCTAACTTGAAAAATGGTCAGTTGTAAGCAAAAACCCTGTGTTCAGAGGGGAGATGGCAGCATTTATTTTTTGCACACTATATGTGCCATAGTCCGGTATGGAATCCAACCAAATAGAATGCGGGCATGGTATCTAAAAAATGTATGAGCATATTTTGTTCACTTCTTAGGTGTTTCAGAGGTGTCTGGTAGTCGTTAGAGTGCACTGCGTAGGGCGGTACGCGGAGTGTTGCTAGATGTTAATTTCGACGGTGCCAGAAATGAGCTGACATTCTTAACAACATTCTTGTAGTACGTGCTTAGTACTTGCAGTTTGCCTGTTCGCTAATTGAAATATCCGCTCGGAATGCTTCCCCTGTAAGAAAATTTAAGGACTTTGCATCATCTGTTTCTACGCGATCAGACGTGACGCTGAAGGAATAGTGATTATTGTAACCAAGACTACTGAATTCACGAAAAGTTGACAAGCACGACATTGCGGGATTCCCTGGCGAGTACCGAGAGAGCATCCGGGAGCCTATCCCCTATGGTGATTGGAGTGTGATTCGACGATACGCTTCAAGGACTCAGCTTTTCTGACTGCTGCGCGTGCTCTTGACTTGGCCCGATTTGTCCCCGACGAAAAAAACGCGAAAAACGATGTCCGCGAAAAACCGAGCGATAGGCGACACAGAAGACGAGTTTCAGGCCGCTTTGGTTACTTACACCAAGGCGGGCAACAAGACAATGGCGATGCGGCGGCTCTGGAATGCCGCATACGAGATGGGACGGGCGGCTGCACCAGTGCGCCTGGTAGTGAACGACTCAGCGACGTTGTGGCAAAGGGAGAAAGAGCGAGTGAAGGCAAAGTGAAGGAGGCGAGGGAGACAGCGCTCGAGGAAGGACGGCAGAGCGGTTTCGAAGAAGGACGGCAGGCTGGTGAGAAAGACGCGCTGAGCATGGTCGCGTTTGAGGTCTCGTTTTCGGCGGGAAAGATGGATGGGATTGCAACGGCTATGGAGCTGGGAAAGGAGGCTGAAAAACAGCGATGGAAGGACAGTGGCCCCGGGTAGTGATGTCCAGGGCCCGGCTCGGCCTGGAAGCCTCGGCTTGGGCCCGGCTTGATGCGGCTTGGGCTTCAAAATCTCAAGCCCAAGCCCGAAGCCCCAACCAGGGCTTGCAAGCCCGAGGCTTGGGCCTGGGCCCGGGCTTGCCCAGGAATTTTTCATTGCACTGAACATGCATACAAGTGTGTAAACCATGGCCTTAATGATAAATGGGGTCTATATTATAGCTCAAAACATTCACCGAGCTCCCATTCACATCTTTCAAGGACACAATGGTACAATTTCCATTTCGGGATTCCGTGTTGAATTTTCCAAATACATTGCAGGTGCCGTATATCTTGTTGTTTTCAATCAGTGTGGCGAGGCAACTTCATAAGCACATGCAAGGTGATTGAGGATCCAAATTCCAACAGTATTTTGACTTAAATCTCGTGGCCAAAAGTTGTCTTCGCCCCATACTCACAAGCCCGGGCTTCAGGGCCCGGCTCGGGCCTTGAAAACTCAAGCCCAAGCCCCAAGCCCGCTCAAGCCCGCTGTCGGGCCCGGCTCGGCTTGGGCTTCCAGGGCCCGGCTTGGCGGGCTTCCGGGCTTCAGGCCGGGCTCTGGACATCACTGTCAGTGGGCATCTCGAGGAC